GGCAGCAGAGTTTTGGGTAAAATGTGAGACCAGCTAGCAACGCATTGAAATAGTCAAACCTGGAGGTAATGAAGGCATGGATGATGGTTTCAGCAGATGAGCTGATGCAGGGGTGCATTCTAATAGTAAAGAGATGAAAATAAGCACTGAGCTTGACTGTGAGATCAGAATCTGTCACTACAACACCAAGGTTTCAAACAGTCTGGTTTAATCTCAGATAAGTTGCCAAGGAAAGGGACAAAAGCTAGTAACTAGGACACAATTTGTGGTACAAACCAAATCAAATTCCCAACACAATCTCCCCAGGTAGCAATTCTTAGGGTGGAACAGCTATCACAATTTTAGGTGCTTTTTTTTTTTGCAGATTGCAATTGCAACCGCAACCAAATAACATGCATACTTCTGTAAAACATAGACATCTGTTTTCTTCAACAAAAGTCAATGAAAAATGACCTGGAGTATCCATACCCATCCCAAGCCCAGAGTCCACTGAAACCAATTAGAATACTGCACTCTAGCATAACTCTGGCCAAGATAAACAAACTCAGTGCAGACCAAGAATAGAACTTGGTTTAAAATAAAAACAAAGTACTGGAGAAACTCAGCAGATCTAGCAGTATCTGTAGAAAGAGAGACAGAGTTAACATTTAGTCCTGAAGTCACATTGGTCTCAAAACGTTAAGTATGCTTCTTTCTATACAGATGTCACTAGATCAGAATTTCTCCAGCACTTTCTATTTGTTTTAGATTTCCAGCATCTGCTGTATTTTGCTTTTATTAAACCTGGTTTGGATGACCCATTCCCACGAGATCGGGCGCCAGTTGGCTGGTAATCATGTTGTACTTTAACGCAGAACAGCACAAATCATCTCACAATAGATGCTGGGGAGGAAATGGAAGCTGAACCCTGGGGCAATACAGGAGTCAATGTTTAAAGGTAACGTACATTACCAACATGCACGGTCCGTCTGAAGTAGACATACCTTATATGTTGGTAATGTGAGTTTGAAGTTTCAATGGGTTTCGAGCTGGTAAACACGGGCGGGCCCTTCTACCTGTGGAAATTGAGGTGTGGATCAATGGAATACAGCTCACAATACCCAGAGAGTAGGGTTCTACACTTCTTGCATAGAAACAGTGTTTTCTAATTACATGCACATATAAAGCATATACCTCATGCTATAGGCTCCTGCGCCCAATTCCTGACCGATTCCGGACAAACTGGCATCGAAATCCTGCACCAACCCAGATTCAATCACCTCATCCGGCATCGGCATCTTCAGCGCCCAGGCCATGGCGACACGCAAATCAAGGCCAGTAATGCGAGTTGGAAACAAGTTGCGCTCGAAGAAAGAAAAAAGCGCTCAGAATAAAGGTTCTTTTCCCCAGTACGAGAGAGGCTGAGTAAAAGCCTGGGAACCAGAAGCTGCCGAACCCAAAGAGAAGGGCGCGCTCACTCGGCTCACTCACCTCGCGCCATGTCCGACCCATCAAAGATGGCGCCGCTAGTAACCGGCCGGGACACACATCACGCTGATTGGCTGCTGCATTAGTCAATCAAGCGTCATTTGCCAGTCGGGATCTGGCCTACTTGCTCTCTTTGACGTCATAACGAACCTTCCTATCACAAGCCGCCAGAAGGCTGGGCTTACTGCTTTCT